TTGTCACAGCCCCTCGTTTGTTGTCCTCTTCTCTCTCTCTGCCTACGGTTTACCGGGCAGTTCTATTTGTGACGATATATATATATATATATATAGTGACGATATATATATATATATATATATATAGTTGGTGAAACTCCGACGAAACAGTTTGTCACAACCCCTCGTTTGTTGTCCTCTTCTCCCTCTCTGCTTACGGTTTACCGGGCAGTTCTATTTGACGATATATATATACCGGGCAGTTCTATTTGACGATATATATACCTGATGAGTCGGTGAAACTCCGACGAAACAGTTTGTCACAGCCCCTCGTTTGTTGTCCTCTTCTCCCTCTCTGCCTACGGTTTACCGGGCAGTTCTATTTGACGATATATATATATATATTCCTGTGACACACGACACAGACGCCCCATCTGTTCTGAAGTGCGCCAGTCCGGTTGCTCATTATCGGCAAACAAAAGGTTGGACAGAACAATACATGGGAAAACAGGAAGGGAGATAAAACACAATATTTCTTGTGTTTCCTTTAGCGTTGGTAAATTACTTTATCCCATCTGCTGTTATTCCTCTGTTTGTCTCTCGAGCTCCTTCTGATTTATAAGCACTGGAGTGTGGTTCCTTAGTGGTATTTGTGGAGCACAGTTCTTTTTTGAGTTCCTATGTGACGTGTGCTCTGATAGTAGGCTAGAAAATGATCCTGACTTCCCTATTCTCCGTTCTCTATTGTGCAGTGGCATCTGCATGGTGAGCAACCCCTGCTCACTGGGCAGATGATGCAGAAGAGATATCCTGACCTTTGTCACCTCATTCATCAATTTGACGTGTTTCATTCCCTAATATTGTTTCATCCAGTCACTGGTTGGGGAGGGATCAGGTATTACAGCTCATTGTGACTGGATGCATCTTCCTCATTTTGCTGATCTGCATGGGGTACTTTCTGCCCAATTTATTGTGTGTCCCGGCAGGGAAGACAACAACTTTGACTTTCTTTTTCTGTATTTGGCATTTGCCACTGGGCAATGGGATGTGATAATGTGGCTTGTTGTCTCTGCTGTGGGCTACTTTTCTTTTTTTGTGGTTGTGCATGCTCCAGCATGTGGAGATGACTTGCCTGGCCTCCCGGAGGCTATTGCTGGTGCATACCTGGGAACTGCTGACTGGTCATCACGCGTTACGGCCTTTGTCACACTGCGAAAGGCTCTGCAAAATGGGCAGAGGGGTGTATCTGAAGTTCTTGCAAACTTTGAAAAGGTTAGTCTTCCTCAATTGCCCTCGTCTATGTGACAGTCGAAGTCACTTGCATGGAAAATGTGATTTTTTTTTTGTAACATAGATGAAGCCTCTTGACTTATTATGACATTACCTATTCATAATCTCTATGAATGGATATCTGGGATCTTTGGAAGAGTTGTAACTGGTCCAGTTGACTATACAAAGAAAATTTTGATGATGGAAAGATATGCTCTTCGATCACCACGCAGAGCTTCCTGTAGTGTTGTGGAAGGTGGAATCTGTGTCCTTTGACCTTGTTGGAGATGCAATGTCAATGAAACCAGAGTGCTGATGGTGTGTCGTGAGCAAAGCGCATACCTGGCATAATGTGGCAAAGAAATTGATCAGGTAGGAAACAGGTGATGTGCCTGATTGAAATGAAATCCAACATGTGATCCACACGTTCCCATACACGTGCGCAATGACACGTAGAGTTGGAGAGAGCAATCCACACCAAACCAGATGAGGAAAATACACAGTGGAAGCTCACAGAAACCCAAAATAGAATTGAAATATTGAATTGAAAATCAATTCTAATTACCGTCTCTCCCCAATTCAATCAGCAACATGAATTTTGAATTTTCCTAAGAATCCCAACTACGGCTTTAAAAAAAAAAAAAATTAATAGAAAAAACAGAACTATGGTTCTGGCTCCTTTTACATTTTGGGGAGCGTTAGTCCGGTTCCTATTCCACCGGCCAGTCAGAAGGCATTACAATGGGTACTCACACACGCTCCTCCCCCTTATGGTGGGGAGGCCCGGCGGAGGGCATTGATTACCTCCCGCAGGAAGGATGTACCTTGCCTCACTCCTGCCTAAGTTAGCCCGTACTAAATGGCGTCTGTGTTTGGATACTAGTCTGTCTATCCTTTTGTTTTGTTTTGTTTTGTTTTGTTTTTAAAACGGAACCTTATGGTTCCGGCTCCTTATCCATTCCGGGGAGCGTCAGTCCGGTTCCTATTCCACCGGCAAGTCTGAAAAGATTACAATGTGTACACACTCACACTCCTCCCCCTTGTGGTGTGGAGACCCGAAGGACGGCATTGATTAATTCCCTGGGGAAGGATGTACCACCCTTCACCCCTGCCTAAGTTAGCCTGTTTTACTGGGAACCTGGATTTGTCACATAATTGTTGCTAAAACCCTAAACCCTGGCTTGGTACGTCTGTGCCTTTGACTTAACTTTGGGGTTCGTAATTGTAACGTACCTTGACGAGGTTGGAGGATATAGTCTGAGATCTAGATGTCTCTTGAGGGGGACTGTTTGGCTTATGTTGAGGGTGAACTTGGCGGGGGGGGTGTTGTGTTTTAGGGAATGGCTGGTTTGAGGAATTGGAGTTTATCGTGGTGTACTGAGTATTGTAAGGAAGGAGTAGGGAGGGAGGGGTGGAGGGGGTGCAGCGGGTAGATTGTCGTGGGCTGGGTTGAGGTGGGGGCAGATGTTGAGGGTGTGGTTTGCGTGATGGGGGGAGTGGGTAGGTGTGGCATACTGTGCAGCCACACGGGCCCTGCAGGGCCCGTCCCGGACCTCCAGCCTGTTTCCCTACAGGGAAACTTCCAGGCTCTTGCCTGGAAGCTTCCTTCTGACAGGGCCTACAGGCCCCAGCCTGTTTCCCTAC